AAGGCGGACGCCAATCTTTTCATCGAAGTGCCTTCCTGAGACCCTTACTGATGAAAATTGTACATAACAAGGACATTTCATCCTTTCGTTCCGCAATCTTACGGTAGAAAAATCCGCTATTCCTTTTCTAGAAGGCTTGACGGCCTTCTAGAAAAAATGAAAAAATGACCTAGAAAAAATGACCTTGAATAAAAATGGTTACACTAATATAACTTCCACTTTGGGTGTATTCTTCACTTATAACAAACTCAAACCAGTGATTCCCGAAGGAAAAAAAAACTCATGAAATACTTTGCGTGCTACTGAAATGCTCCATGTGTGTTTAAAAGCAATCTGATTTGTATATTGAACATGACATTACTAGAGACACTTATATGTTGTGACTTTTAATTAGCTTGGTATCATCTTCCAATACTGCGAAAGTACCGCCTGAGATTCTTCTACTAGCTGGTGCTGGAATTACATTTCCCATCAGCGGAAACTATAGCCTCATATATTAGTGTGTATTACGACGTTATGTCTATAAATGTAAAATCTTCGAAATATTTCTGCAGGTTCTGTTTCCTTAATATTGATCCTGAACGTGCACTTAAAAAAGTTTCTGAAGCTAAAGTAGATCATTGTATAACACTTTCGCCTCTATGAATGACAAGTTTCTTTAAATATAAAATCTATTTCTACATTGTTCCAGTAGAACAAAAAATTCAATTAGTTGAATGTTAATTTTATTTCAATAAGTTGAAAACAAGAATCGGTATATTTTTTGTGGATAAAATTCGTAAGTCATTAAAAATTATTAATTAGCAGAGAATGAATTTACCAATTTAGAAAACTCTGCAATGCTTTTACTACTAAATAAGTTGGTGCAGATTTCAATCAGATTTAGGGAAAAACTACAAAACAAAAACTGGTTGTTTTGCGATTAATATTTCCATATTGGGCAAAACAGCACTCGGTATTAACTTCGTAATTGGCCGCATCAGGCTATTAACTTCTAATGTCTTCATGGACTTTACTTAACTCATAAAAGCATAATGAACATACTCTAACCAAACTTACTGATCTCAATATAATCATACTATTTCCAGTGATGTAACTTTTCCATAAATTCTCTTCCTCATTTTGGGAAGCTTCGTAACTGGAAGTATATGTATAGAATCAATATTTAAGAAGATTTAGCACAGCGGTCATCTTTTACCAACACCCTATATGCAAACACACGCACCGAAAAAAAGGTCAAATACAACACTAATTTCTTTACATAGATACTAAAATAACAATATTTGAAAAATACTATTCACTTTCAATTCATTTCTTTTCCTTCTACCATAATTTATATTGCAATCATCTGTGTTTTTTTTTAATTAAATCAAAGTCCGTTTAATGCCTGTAATTTTTATAAATGCAGTTATTACTTAAGTCACAGCTCTCTGCGAGTTTATCTGCTTTCTTCATATATATTTACCATAATTTTGTATTTTATTATATCACTTATTTTGGATATATTCATAAAAACAGATAAGTTCAGAGATGTACTGCATGTAGAAATGTTTTAAAAAAATCTTTTTTCCTACGCTTAGTGTTTATTTTTTATTAAATAAAACTGTTTTTATTAATAATAGCATATTTTTAATACTATTATTGCTTTAATCACATCTTCCTGCACACTTTTCGGCTTTCTTAATCCAATATTTTTATTACAATCTTTACATAATTTTATCATGCGTTTCAAATAGAGAAGTTGAAAGATATATTTTTAGAGGCATGGAGAGATATAAAACAGAACAGTAAAGTTAAAAAAGACTTCTTTTTTTCTCTCCTTTTCTTCTTGCACATCGTAAAAGCACACAACCAAACAATTCCGCAAAATCAACGATTTAAAGATCTATGCAACTCTAACAAACCCATCACGAAAGATGTGGAGTAATGTGTTTCGATGAGCAAAGATTTTCCCATAGAGTGGATTCCCGAGTTCCATTACTTTTGCAACATTTTTATATTATTCATAGCTGAGAAGTCATTCAATTATCTCGGTCTGATGGCTCTTGCCTGAACAACACACGCAGAGCCAGCGAACATCTAATGCTCTTGACAAACATCGGTTGGGTTTTTCTTTTCAATTATGGATGTTATTGACTCGCCTTAACACGTGAGGAAGATGGGGATTGAATTTGTTGGTCAAGTAACTGGTGGCTTGTCAAGGTACCATTCCCTCGAGACATAAGCAACAAACAGATCAAGAGCAGGGGAAAAAACTCAAGAATTAATTCGAATGCGTTGAAATTAATCGAGTATTAAAACAGTAATATTTTTCTTCCACATGAATCTCGGAGCAAATGATAGGAATTAACAGATTCAGATTTAACATTTTCATGTTTTGGCCGTAACTGAGAGGGGAAAAAATAAAAGACGCATGCAGTATCTTTTAATATACCATTCGAACTAATATTATTAATCTGAAATGAAGTTTTCTAAGAGTACGTATAAAAGTTTCCACTGACGTGACACTGCGGCTAAGATAATTCCACTTTAGTCAGAAATCTGTGTCTACGTGAAAATGAATTTGGATGAAAGTAATCTGACATAAAACCTGACCAGGAGCTTAGTGAAGGAAATATAGTTGCCATTTTAGTTTCTTATTACAAGTCCCAGAATAAGTCTCAGGAATAGTAACAGGATGTACAAATTCTAGATCAGACAAGTCCTAGACCTTGAATACTAACGATGACAGTACGGCTTTTCCCAGATTTTTAATTTGATCAGGAATATAACAAGGAGAAGGAATTCGGAAATTCCGTATCCCTTTGCTTCCAGATAATCGATTTCCAAAGCGTACTTCCGAACCGATGTATTTTAAGAACCTTCACTCTGCAAAGCTATTACAAATTCAAAACCAGATTTATAGGCGAAAGAATTGCCTTCGTTAATTACCATGCTGACAGACGAACGAGAAATTTAGTTGCTTAACATAAAGAATAATTATCAGTGCAGGTATATTTTTATACAATATTTTTAAATAAAAGTAAGCCTACGCTGATATACACGGAATATATATATATTCATTGCATCATACTAAATGCAATGAATATATTGTAAACAAAAAACTGAGTTAGAATGTCAGAAGCCGTAATCCTAGGTGAGCTCTTAAGCTTTAAATTGCTAATTTTTAATACTTGTTGAGATATTAGGATTTTTTGGAAGCAAGAGAGATGAAAAATGAGCAAACGCCTTCGCCGGGAATCGAACCACGGATCTCTGGAATACCGGCCCAGCCTGCAGAACCACTACACCCCGAAGGCACGCTAGGAAGGCGGGAGAAATAAATTATATACTCCCCCTTTTAAAGGGCGACTGGGGTTTTTAGGGTACCCAATCGCCAAATCCTAAGTGAGGGGAATCATTGTCCAACACCCTTCTAGTTCGGGCGCCACTGTAGAGATATTAAGATTTTTTTGGAAGCAAGAGAGATGAAAAATCAGCAACGCCTTTGCCGGGAATCGAACCACGGACCTCTGGAATACCGGCCCAGTGTGCAGAACGAATACACCACGAAGGCGCACCAAGACAGTGGGAGAAATATTTTTTATACTCATGATATTAACATATTTAAAAATACCTAAATCATCGTTACCAGGCATTTTATAAGAAACACAATTGTGGCAGCGCCGAAGAACTAAATACTAAAGTAACTAATAATAAAGAATAAGAATGTGTGTTACATGAGTAACTTATAGGAGTTCACTTTCGAAGGTAAAATTGAACCTTCTTCTTCAAGTGGGGGTAAAAATGACGAAAAAACATTTAGCAGGATCAACTGAATTTGTGTTGGAATGAGGTTTAATGAAAGTTCTCTTAGTCATAAATTCAACTGATCTTGTTCTTCGTTTCACTTCTGAATTCTAAATATCTGGTTTCCTTACGTTCGTCTCCATCCTGGTAACAGATGGACATCCTCCATCACCTAACTTCGGTGACACATTAAATCGTAAATCTTCATCTGTCAGCTCCCCCCCCCGCCAATTGGGGATTTCAAAACTGTTAAAAAAATCGGTTTAATTTTTCTTTCATTTTACATGCATTCATTATAGCTTCTAAGTCAGCTCTTGATCAGAAACTCAGTTATTTTAGAGTGGTTGCAACTGACTGAAGTTTCTCGTGTCATATTATTGACCAAGCGGAAAGTTTCATTTTTCAAAATATGAAAAAGCATTCTTTCGTTTCGACCGATTTTTAATAATTCAGTAGTTATTCCCCTGTATCCATGATTTAAAAACAAAATTGTACATATTAATTTTATCTGCAACTTTTCGTGTCGTTTTCACTTTTGCTAACAAAATTCACAATTCAGTAAAGACCCCATTTCAGATATGAATTCCTGAGATATATACAGTATTTTTTCCCAGTATGATATAATACACATAGATCAAAAGAAAAAAAGCCTTGAAATTTCTCACTATCTTTACTTAAGTAATGTGTGACTAAACACCATTATAATCATACAATATCCGTGAAAGCTTTCGGTCATAGGTATAAAGTTAGCAATAGTTGAAAGAAGGGATAAGAATGGGATATTTGTCTACTCTCTTAAATTACATGTACATTTAGATATATACATAAATATACATAATAACCAAAACGCTTCTATGTACGTGTAAAGCATTTCAATGTTCAGTCTACACCAAAAAATACGTTTTAATAAATCTATCAGGTGCTACAATTAAATATTAAAAGTAAATATTAAAAGTATCTCCCATACTGTATTGTAGACAATTTGCAATGCAATTTTTGAACTATTGACAACGTTACATGCATCAATGAATATTCAGAAGAACTGTAAATAAAATTTAAGTCAACAGAACTAGCTATATTCGTAACATCTAAAACACGAAACTATATTTAAGACACAAAACGAAACTATATTTTTAAATACAAATGCAGAAACATTGATCATTATATAATTTAAGCATAAATACGGGGGCAAAATAAAAGTACAAAAACACTTTTGTTCAGAAACTTTCTTTATTATTTTTTATTTTTATTGAAAATTCTCTTTATTTTTGTAATAGTTAAGTAACATGTAAAGGTTCCGAGAACGGCCCATGTTTACTCCAGAAATCTACAGCATATATTCTGTAAAATCCCTTCATTCGGCACTCAGTTTCTATAAATAAAAGGTGTAATAGAGTTACTTATTTTTAGAGCAAAGAGGAAGAAATATTTTAGAATTCTTTTTCCTCCTTGATATTTAAGCTATAACACTATATGACAGATTACAAATTAACATAATTTAAAAAAGGATATTACAGTACGATAAAGTTTATTAGCTTTGTCTTAACACATGCAAAATATGTACTATTTTAAATCTAGCCATCTGATTAAAGTGCAGGACAGAAGAATACGTTTCTTAAGATACAAACTTTTCAGAATTCTATTCAGATGAATCACAAATACAACGGCTGTAACAGATCATCAAATGAGGAGAATCAAAGGGAATTATATATACAGGGTGATCATAAAGAAACTTTCCCGAGATATGAACTTCTAGAGGCCTATCCGCTCAACCAATCGAAATGAAATTTCAGATATTGTTATTTGAAGGTATTAGTAGTAGCTCTTACCGCTATGGTTACAGTGAAAAAATTTCGAAATTTTCGAATAGCAACACTCATTTTTTTCCTGTGCGAACTCAACGCACTGAAAAACACGTTCGAACGATTCACGTATGACGAAAATTACGGGCAAAGAACAGCACTGTAAAAGACCAATAACAACACAAAAGAAGGAGGAAAAATACTGGAATTACAAATTTTCAAGGTGTACAACGTTTCAAGGTAGAGTCATCTCCCATAGCTTTGCAGTTTCGTGGCCACCGCTATCCCCCGACCTCACTCCGATAGGATTTGGATTTGGATTATTCAGTTATGGCAAAGCACACGAGGGCTATCTGCCTAAAGGGAGGGATGCCTTTCGTGGAGGACTTTCTAAGGGAAACTGGCTCGTATACACGTTACACATGGGGAAAACCACGAAAACGCCCATGTAGCCAGCCCGTCGCGGGATTCGAACCTCAGACCGAACTACCAGTGTTCAGCGTCTTTACCGCTCGGCCGCTGGTGGGCCCCTCACTCCGATAGAGTTCTGGTTCTGGCATTATCTGAAATGTAAGAAGTTTACATTAAATCCACGATATTTGTCAAAATTGAAAGATGCTATAAAACGTAAAGTTATACAGATGTCTTCTGCAATGTTATGTTATTCATTGTTGTCAACAATCTCCATATGCAATGCGTTATCGTCTGCGAAGATGGGCATGTTGAAAACTTGAAATTCCAATAAAAGTTCTTTTCCTTCTCCTCTCTTAAGCTGTCACTGGTCCTTTATAATGTTCTTCTTTGAAAATGTTTTACGCCAGCAATTTTCGTCACACCTACATCGTTCCAACGCAATTTGTGATTTTCCAATGCGCCGATCAATTTGCGCAGGAAAAATGTGAGTGTTGCTTCTCAAAAATTCCGAAATGTTTTCGCTGTAATTATAACCGTGAACGCGAGAGCTTTAATGTTTTAAATCATCACAATCTTCAAGGCATACCTTCAAATAACAATATCTGAAATTTCATGTCGATTGGATGAGCGGATAAGCCTGCTAGGGTTTAATATATCGGGGAAGCGTTTTTATGACTACCCTGCACTTATTCTTTTTTAGTAGTTGAATGAAAAAAAGTGATTTCTTTGATTTATGCGCATTCCTGAAAAAATAACAGGATATCTACTACTTTACACCGTTTAAATAACACAGTAGTATAAGTTCAAAAGCAAAATTAAAAGTGCAAGGTTTAACATGTAATATTCGCAACATCAAATCGTCCTGTAAGGAACTTAGAATATAAACGTTATCAGAGTTTCCATAACTCCTATCAGAAACATTTCATATTCTATGAATGAATAAAATGTCAATAAAAACACCATACTCACCACCACTATAAAACACTATAAAACATACACTATAAAACACCATACTCCTAAGCTACATAAATCTTTTGCAAATTTATTATGTTAACTAACAATACTAAATTATAAGCTTAATTTAATTTGTTTTCTAAAATCAAAACTACGCAATCATTTCGTCAGATATTAATAAAAAAATGGTTTCCTCAAATATTTTTAAGTTTTCAAACAAACACTTTAAATGAAACAGATTATATCCATGAAATGATATTTAATGAGGACTTGATGCATGCTTACTAACAAGTATACTAACACAGACAAAAATCGTGAACACACCATCATTACGATATATTAAATGTTCAGATAAAATATATTTTAATTTAAATACTAATAATGAAGGCTTGAATGAAAAGGAAAAGTAATTTAATATTATTTACATTAATATGTAACCATAAGTGTGCTAAATCTTCAGTTTAAGTGTTTAAATCAATGCATAAAATAATCGATACTCGAAGAAAGCAGCTTTTCTAACGTTTCGTCACTTATGCACTTTCTTTCTAACGTTTCACTCTTCTCAGCATGTTTTGCACAATTTTGTAGAAGTCAACTGCAGAAATATTATTTACGGTCTTTCTGAATTTTTGAAACATCATTTGAGGCTTGACTTAGAAAAGCAAAATATCGCATGTGTAAGTCTCGCGAGCACGTGGAATGATGAAGAACAACTACACTTTCTTTGCCATGAACTGTTTGATAAGACTTGCTATAAGAATAGAAAAACTTATTCCTTGTCGTTGTTTCATTTGTTCATAAACTTGTAACATAGAACCCGACTGCATATATACAATCAAATATTCCACTAAACTTCTTTCTGTAAACAGCTATTTTAAAGGAAACAAGTTAGGATGAATTGCTAGTCATTGTGACTAGTCAACGTTTGGCAGTTTCTTTAGGACAATATGAAAAAAAAAAAAAAAAAAAATCAATCTGCGTTATATTCCCCAAACCAGACCTTTACACATTCCACACAATCTTTACCAGCTTTACACAGCCCTAAAATCTTGTGAAACTGCGTATACTTGATCTACAGTATTAGAAAATAATCAAACAAGAAAACGAAACTATTTCTTTGATATAAACATAACACATTATAAGGTATTTCTCCCGCCTTCACAGCGTGCCTTCGTGGTGTAGTGGTCATTACACTGAGCCGGTATTTCAGAGGTCCGTGGTTCGATTCCCGGCGAAGGCGGTTGCTAATTTTTCATCTTCCCTGCTTCCAAATTACCTAATGTCTCTACAGTGGTGCCCGAACTAAAAGGGTGTTGGATGATCATTACCCTCACCCAGGATTTTGGCGATTCGGTCCCCTAAAAGCCCCAGTTGCCCTTTAAAAGGGGGAGTATATAAGGTATTTCTACCTCCTTCCTAGCGTGCCTTTGTGGTGTAGTGCTCAGCGCACTGAGTCGGTATTTCAGAGGTCCATAGTTAGACTCCCGGCGAAGGCGGTTGTTAATATTTCATCTTGCCTGCTTCCAATTTACCTAATGTTTCTACAACATCATAAATGACGTGTCATAGATAAATAAAAGCATCTAAAGTATCGTTTTACCACTCCTTTTTAAAGGCCCATCCAACAGAATATGACTTGATGGAAGATGTTGATAGTTAACAACTCGTCTTCCGTATACATCTTTACGAATGTTAATTAAATTTAAGTCTCAAGTCAGCCCATGCGTTCCACTTTCTCATCTCCTGATTATGTTTAATCACCTGTGCTGTTCAGAAGCTGAATACCATTCCTTATCACTCATAAGGAAAGACTTACTAAGTTATGAAGCACAAGGTCTCACGATTTTCTCTTGTACTTTCTTGTAATCAATATACTTGTCATAATATACTTGTAATCAATATACTTGTAATACAATACTTGTAATCAATATCTTGTCAGAGATCAGTACCAAGTATTAATATTTACACTTCCCTAAACCGAAATTTCTCCCAGATCCAAAAGTACTGACATATTTTTTTTTCTCACGCAGGAAGTCGTAGGTTATATAACTGCAATCTGAATCTCGATTACCCGTAAACAGGTCAGATATCCCCAGTTTAGCTTCCAGTTTCCATGCTGCAAAGTACATTGCCTACTCAAACTGTACCTTGATTAGTGTTAATATTGGAGAGAAGAAGGCAAATAGCTTATATCGATACAAACCACCTTTTCCAGTTAAAAATGCAGACTACAAACATTTTGTCAACTAATGTGCAGATGTATAAGCGTTTTATCAACAAGTACATATTTAGCTAAACTAAAGATCTTCCCTTGGGTATTTATTTGTCTACGAACTAATTCTAGCATACGGCATTTGCACTTTGTAATCAAATCCACAGACAGTATTAATCGAAATTTAAACTGATAGTTTTGATTTTCTTCCAATTTTCTTATAGTCCTGAGGCTAAAAAATCTGGTAAATCATACTAACAAGTAATTATAATTACACATTATATATTATTATTTAATAAATGATGTATCATAACTTAACTTCTTTTCAGCATTATAATTCCATGACGTAATATACACAATTAAAAATTCCACAAATGCACAATAATACAAGCATAGAATTTTAAAATCAATTGCCACCAAAAATTAAACAAGGATTAAATGAAATATTTACCATTGTCATAACAAGTATGATAATATGAAGGGAAGAGAATTTTGTCTGTGTTCACCTTAACATATGCACCGTGTTTAAAGGGACTATATTCCACATAGTACGTTAGTATGCATCTGAAACGAACACGGAAACTATTAAAAATAAATGTAATGAAGATCTGAAAAAAATATTTAAATTTATGATAATAAAACAGAATTTGTCTGTGTGTGTTTTCATCGTATAGCGCAAAGATGGATAGGTCCAGAGTTATGAAAGTTACCACACAGGTTATCTAAAAGCAGCCCGCGTGCAACTCGATAGGAATTTTTTTTTAAATTCAGTATAGATCAATATGTAAAATATAAAAAAATACGATGGCTTTGTTCTATGCAAACATGCAACCTCTAAGTAACTTTCCGTAATTTAGGATCTTCCCCCTTGACCAGTACCTTCCAGAATAATTCTCTAGTCTGTTGCGTAACCAATTCTATAAATAAGGAGCTCGCGCCATTTTGCGACGCAGAAGAAGCTTCCTCTCCGCTTGCGCTACGCACCTCGCTACTGCTTATGCCATCTTTCCTTTGTTAGAAAGTTACGACGCAGAAAGCATAAATTGTTATCGTACTTAGTTTAAATCATTATGGAATATATAACTTGGAGAAGTTAATCTGAAATCTGACATTCGAATGGAATAAAGATGTGTAATTAAAAGATAAACCATTATTGTATCGTATCAATTGGATTCAGCCTTACCAATCAGCCATCACAATGCCATTAAGACAGTATACACGAAAGATGGTAAGACGACGTCTTCAAAGCACAACAGTGGCCGAAAGTCAAAGCTGGCTAATAGGGATAGAGGGATCTTGAAGTGCATAGGAGCCCGAAAGCACAAGCAGTCGGTATTTGAGATAACATCCGAAATTAACAGTCATCTCCAGGATCTCGTTTCAACAATAACTGTCAAAAGGGAACTTCATGCTGCGAACATTTATGGCAGAGTAGAAATTCGTAAGCCCTTGGTGACAGCAACTAATGCTTTCAAGTGACGCCAATGGCGTAGAGATCACAAAGGCTGGTCCCCACAGCAGTGGCAACAGGTAATATGGTCAGATGAATCGCCATTCACTCTATTTCAGACGACCGGACGCGTTATGTCTGGAAAACGCCCAAAGAAGCGTTTCATCCTGACTGCCTCTTGCCAACTGTGAAGCATGGGGGTGGCGCTATTATGGTATGGGGTGCGATATCTTAGCGCGGTCTTGAGCCACTTGTTATTCTGCATAGGAGGATCACATCCAATCACTATCTAAGCATTCTAGGGAATCATGTCCATCCTTTTGTCCAGACTGTATTCCCTGTGAAGTGACCGCTTTTTCAAGACGACAGCACTCCTATCCACACTGCTAGGTGTATTCAAGAACGGTTCGAAGAGCATGACGATGCAATTGAACATCTCGCTTAGCCCCCTCAGCCTCTGGACTTGAATATTATTAAACATTTATGGGCATATTTGGAGTCCAAACTTTGTTCCCGATTTCCGCCTCCATCCGGACTTTCGGAATTAGAGACCGCTATGCAGGAGGAATGGCTTAATATTCCTTTAAATATTGTCCATGACCTTTATGCATCTATCCCACGTCACATTCAATCTGTACTTCAGTCAAAGGGTAGTCCAACCCCCTATTAATAAAGATTTTTCATTATTTCACAAATTTTTGTATTATTTTGCTCTCCATCTGTATATATATGTGTGTAAATACAACAGTCAAGCAAATTTTTTGCCCATATCCTTGCTTAACGGTCAAACTAATAATTGCAAAATTTTACTGCTCTTATTATCGGAAAAAACAGAAAAAAAATTGAAACGATGTTTATTCTGAATCATTGATGTAATTTACTGATTTTTAAAGATTTTTCAAAAATCGCTCGATATTTTTAGATGATTCCATGTCCTTTGGCCTTAAATTCTCTCATCAAAAGTAGTAAAATTTTCGTACATTATATAAATTTCTTAGATTAACCAACCCTTCAGACTCTTAAAAGGAAAATGAATAAGTTATTCTGTCATTTTATAAATGCTATTTTTGTCTTTTCAGATACATTTTGCATTTAGATTTCATTTCTCGTTTACAGTCATTTTTTTAAATCTTGCTATATTTTTTTTTACTTTCGATAAAGTGTATATATCAATAGAATTTATAAAGTTATTTCTAACTAAATCTGGTGTACAATTTATAAATATTTCACTCATATATTTATGTATATATTTTCTTATTTTTATTATTATATGTAACTTTTATGAAGATAGATTTCACATTTAGAGTTTATTTCTTTTTATTAATCTTATTTTTTCTTATCATATTTTTTATTTCCAATTTATTTTCTTATTAGTTGAATCTCAAATATATACATATATATATCTGCAATAAGAATTATTAAGTAAAAAATTTGCCATGTTATTCTTTTGCCTTTTTAGTGTGTACATATCATTCAGTTGCGATAATGATAAGATTAGTAAAAATTCGCAAACGGTGATTTCCAAAGCGCTGATCAGGCTTTAAAATAAAATTTCGTTTTATAACGATATTAATGTTAAACTTAAAAGCTTTCATAAGTACTTTCAGGTTTAATTTTTTTTAATCACAAGGATGCACAACAAATACACTCATGTCGATAAATTAAGGATAATTCGGAGTCACGCGAAAATCGAACTCTAAAATAAATATATCACCTGTAAAATCACTACAAACATCTTCAAGAATCATATGCAAATTTCAGGAAGTAACCAGATGACACCGATGGTATGTCACAATGACGAGAGTGAAGAGAGTGATATATAAGGAATACAGACAAAGAAGTAAAATTGTTCGCAGGCGCTTTATAAGCATTTCAGTGCAATAACCGAATAGTTATGACATAAAGGACGCATTTGGATGATTTTTTACGTGGTAGAATTATCGGCCGTTTGGAATGTGGGCGTACCCAACTGGAAGTATCAGACGAACTTGGAATTGCCCAAAGTGTCATATTCAGGCTTTGGCAACGATTCCAAGATGATGGTAATGTGAGTAGACGTTACAGAACAGGTCGCCCTAGAGTTACAACGCCGAATGAGGACCGGTATTTGACAGTTACTGCCAAAAGAAACAGGCGGAGCACAGCCTCAGACCTGTCTCGTCAGCTCTCTTCAGCCACTGGTACGACAATTTCAAGGCAGACCGTTTACAGACGCTTAGGGCAGATTGGTCTATATGATCGTAGACCTTTCAGATGCGTTCCACATACTGCAACTCACTGTCGCCTGCGGTTAGCCTGGAGTAGAGAGCATGCATTGTGGACACCGCAACAGTGGGCTTGTCTGATGTTTTCCGACGAGTCTAGGTTTAGCTTGCAGTCTGATTCTTGCCGGACTTTCATATAGAGAGCTCCAGGTACTCGTTATCACCAAGAAAACATCATTGAACGACACCGTTACGGAGGTGCAGGAGTGCTCGTTTGGGGTGGAATTATTCTGGGTTCCAGAACTGACCTGCGTGGTCAAATTGGAACCATGACAAGTCAAATCTATCGGGACGTCATTCTGGAACAACATGTACGTTTGTTTCGGGGCGCCATGGGCGCACAATTTGTGTTTATGGATGACAACGCCCGTCCTCACCGTGCAAACATCGTAAGCGAATGTCTTCAATCGGAGGATATCACCCATATGGAATGGCCAGCATTCTCACCGGACTTGAATCCAGTAGAGCACGTGTGGACATGCTTGGCCGACGAGTTGCAGCCCGTCAACCTCCTCTACATGTCTACCGTAACTTCGAAGAGCATTACATTTTGAGTGGTGTAATATCCCCCAAGATCAGATCGATAATTTGATACTCAGCATGCCTAGGCGTTGTACGGACTGTATTGCATCGTCTGGGAGACATACAATGTATTAACAATCATACCAACCATGTAATATTGGTTTTTTGTAATTTGCTTCAGGGAGGAAAAATCGCTAATTTTTTTAATAATATCAAACATATAGCATCTTTTTTTTGCTCTTTACCTTTTGTTTAATAAATAAGCTTTACAAATAGGTCAAATTTGTTTTGCTTCTAACTCTTCCTTTACCTGATTTTGCATTATCCTTAATTTATGGACATGAGTGTAATTTGCAACGCATCTTTATAAAGAATGTGTTCGCAGCGTTTCTGTATAGCATCATTTCGTAAATTGTTTTCATTCATGACTCTTTTTATCATCAAAAATATTTTATAAGCATGCTCTTACATAGGCTTTGACTATTAAATTTACACTTTTCTTTACAGTTTTTCGAGACACTCCTTGTTTAAGTTGTTTTACAGGACTGTATCTTTTAATTCTTTAACAGAGGCTAATTTTGAATTTTTCCGTTTTAGGTTTTTGCATAGTAAAAAATTTTTTGCATGAATCCACAGATATTTTCTATTTGTGTATTTAGAAGCAAAAGGTTTTTTATCTGCGTCATTGTATACATGTAAAATATTTCTATTATATCTTCTGTGTTAGAAAGCTAAGACAATAGGGAAAAGAGACAATTAAATGAGACTTCTTATTCTTCTATTTATATGACAAATAAATTAAGTATTGCGTTTACAAGTCTCAATGAATGTCAGAACGAAATTTGTCTTGGCTCTTTTATTAATCGACCAAGTATGGAGAAAAACAAATATCTCTCATAAATAATTTGTTTCTTTGGTAAACAATACATATATGAAAAGAAATATTTTTAGGATTTGTTTCACGTATGCATAAATGAACGAAAGAAAATCAGGTTTTAATGAATTGGATGTGCTTGTTTTCCTGCATAACAAGTAAAATCTTCACTGATAAAATTTCCGTGGCACTCCTTCCGTAGAGCAATATTTGACACTACAGGATAATATCTGCAATATTTTCTTCAGCGGTGAACAATAGTTGGATTTAATAAGCGTTTAAACTAAAAAGGTCGTTTAGCATAATTATGAGGTGCTGAATAGCAGAAGAGCATTTAAGGTCATTACAAGAAGCAGTGATGAATTCAGTTCTAGCTCCGGTCCAGAGTTCAGTGAAGGATTTCTGTGGGAACTCAAGTCACTCGATAACTCATCAGATTCCTCTTGGTTTTTATATGGCAGATAATCTTATAAATGTCAATAAAAATTTTTTTTGAGTCTAAGACAACATTTTGAAATCAAAACGCGATATAAAGTATTAGCAAAATTGTGTTTCTAAGGCCTTTTTTTAAGTGATCTAGAATAATATTTTGAAATTAATTATTTGTATTCAATTATAAAATTGTCGATAGTCAAAAACATTTTAAATTTATCATTTTCCACCCTATTCTTCCAAATGTTGATGTTTTGAATAAAAACCTTCAATTTTATTATTAAGTTAATATTTTGCTATTTTGTTCTTGAAGATACAAGTTAAAATAATTTAGTTTCTCAAAAATATCCTAAAAATAGCACAACTTCATTGTAACACAGATTTTGCTTTTACATTCAGAAAGAATGGTTTTTTTTCTACCTTTGCATTATTATTTTTAAACAGTATACAATAAAATATATATTTAAGAAATTTTTTAAATTATACAGTTTAAATTAAATACATTAAAAAGGGAAAAAAGAAATTTTTCTTTAGCTATCACAATATTCTGTATCATACGCGGCAAATATAAAATTGCAGAGTACAATTACCGGATTAATCGAAAGCATGTCTAGTTTCCCAATATTTACATGCAAAATAAATACCGAAGCAATAGTACACCCGAAATTTTTGCAGCTTACAATAATATTGATAATATAAAGCTGAGTTTCTTAACTCAGATGAATTAATTAACTCAGATTTTACTAATTTTCTTCATAGGTCAATGATGTAATCTGTTAAGCTGCATAATTTCCGTATCATGCTTTATAAATTTCGTCTCCATGGAAATGCTGCAAAAATCGGTTGGAGAAATATTTCAATAAACACAGTTCTCATGAGTAAATGACGATACCAAGGGCAATTTAGGAGGTTCCGAATTTAAGATTTAATTTAGAAGAAGAGCCTAGAAGTTAGCGAGGAAGAAAAGGTGGTAAATGATGAACATGCTGACAGAGTCGAATCTATGCATCACCAGTGAAGAAAAAAATGGGAGCTTTCCTACGCACAGCGAATAACAACAGATGACCTGAAATGAATACGAACGTTTTCAAGAGCGAATGTTTGTGTTCATATGAAATCACAGTTGGAAACCATTATAACCGGGTATCGATTTACCCTTTTCTATTCACAACAAATGAATAGAGCCTTTCTTAATGCGTAATTGTAAGTGGAGGCAAAAACGAATTTTTCATGCTAATGTTACTCGAAATAGACAGTGTTTAAGTGCAAACGAGAACCATAACCTTACATAAAAACCAGGAATGCATCCAAAGAAAGTTTTCTTTTGCATATAGTGGGATATGAAAGATGTGATTCAGTTTGAACTGTTAGACAATAACCAAATCATGTACCTCTCATTATCTCTGATAATTTGAAAGTGGCTCTAACCGCTACGTAATTAGTATAAATCAATTGGTGTAATTCTTCAAAAAGATAATGCTAAATTACATACTGCTATTACTTATTGATTCGGCAAAAGCTTGATGGGAAATTCTTCCTCCACCTAAAATTTCAGATAATATCTCTTAATTTTTATCGGTTTAAATAACTGCTACATTTTCTTGTTTCTATAACCTTTTACAGTAAATAAGAATCGAAAATGTACTGAATAAATATTTTGTGGTAAAACCAAAAGAATACCTCAAAAGTACAGGAATGTAGCCTGAAAGATGAACATAAGTCATAAAAAATGATGGATATTATATTAACAATTAAATTTATGCACCAGTAGTTTTCCCATTTGAATTTGGCGATCTCAACTCAAGTTCCTACCAACCTGGTAAAAGAAATGTATTGGCACAATACCAGAATCTCACAAAGCAACAGAAGTAATAGCACAGATATGCAGCATGTAAGAATGCTTGCGCTCAGTTTCGATTTAAAATTCCTCATTGTTGGCAACCCCAAGGTTTCGTTTTTAGTCACATACGGCCAAAAATATTGTGATAATTTAAAAAATGGCTCTTTATTATTTAGCACGTTTATACAGAACAGCGTAATTTAAAAAAATTCTGTATGTAAAGGTTTTCAACATTTATTTTTAAATATTTCTCTATATAAAGGTGTTACATTTTCAGCATTTACTTATTTCTTGATATCACTAAATTTTTCTGATATTTTATACTTCATATGGCATTAAGTTTTCTTTCTCTCCGGTACAGAGAATGAGTATATTGCTATAAATACATAAAAAAGCAGAATAATTAGGACGAAATGTATACGAACCTGTTTCCAATATCCTGCCATGAAATTTGAATCGTTGTGTTTCTGATCTGAAGATAGCGAAGATTTTTTACCTGCATATTAATAATATACATATAACATCGTTATAACGACATTAAAATATAATTAATTTGTGAAATTTAATCAATTATTGCATCAAATAAAACTGACCCGCTTAAGTTTTCTTCCAGACTCACATATGTTTATTAATGTTACACCAGGATTTAAGATATTAAGATGAAATTTCCAAGGGGAAAAACTGCTGAGTCTCCATGGCCCTCTAATATGTGGATCCTACGAAAAAGGTTAATAACATAATCAGCAACTTAAGTTTTAAATGTCCAGTAATATTCCTACTTACAAGGCATTTTCTGTAAAAATCAAATATCATTAACAACAATTTTAATTGAAAATATACACAGAGCTTAAGATAGCTAATTATTTTTACCTAAGCTATGATGAAATTTTATTATTGCTTTTAAAAAATTAAAAAAGGAAAACACAAATAACTGCTATTATAGATCTCCGCGATCTCCATAATTTAGATAATAAACGAGACTATTCCATTAAAAACGTTAAAATGCCATTATATAAATCATGAATTTTGTCAAAATACTGAAATGCTTTGATGCTATTCCATTCGTCATATCCAGGGAACTTCATTCTAATAATCTCGGGTTTTTAATATTTCAAATTTCTTTTCTAATTAAAATATATTTCTTCAACGTAAATCAAAATAAAGATTCTTATGCGTTGAATATTTTAAAAAGAAAAGAGGTGCACATGATTAACTATTTGAACTTCTTAAAACAAAAGTTCCTCGTGTCTCTTATGATTTAGAATATAAAGATCTTCCTAATAATGTTTTCGTTTCAATGATTTTTTTTCTTCAGTGTAATATAGTTACCTAAACAATTACTTAGATAGAGAACATTTTTATAAGCACATTTTTATTCCCTTCTTAGCATAGCAAGTTTATATAGCACAGAATTAAAGGACAATATAGTACTCGATGCTTATTACGTTCAAATTTCCAGGAACCAGAATAAAGATATACTAATCAATAAAAAACACTGTCGTTTATTAAACTCCTCTTCGCCGCTTATAAAACTCAGACTGCAAAAAAGACAGAAATTCTAGTGCCAGAATATTCTATTGCTATTTACCCAAAACTGTTCCTACTTCATCCATTTAACTTATTGGGGACTGCGGCTTATTTATCACTGTTGCCAAATGAAAATCGCTTTTTACGCTAGATTTCCATAAATAGAATGCTAGAAAAATGCTAAAAAGTGTTAAGAAAGTTGAAATGTGCTAAGCCTTAATTTTAATACTTCTAGAAATTTTCTCATATTTTAGAATTATGCTTTCTATGGAAATGTCGACGGTGGTGGCTTAAATAGTAAATGTATTTGATTTTGTTATTGAAAATATTGAAAAACAGAATAGTTGCGATTGTAATAACCGATAGGGTGAGGCTTTAGTATCGTCTATACCTGATGTTGAATTTCTTTATGACATCCTAAGCGTGGGCTGCTAGTGAATCCAAAAGTGGAGGAAAACTTTTGATTTCAATGATTCTGTAACTTATGCAAGACAGTTGTACAAATAATTGTATATAAGAAGCGGAAGCACTTTTAGTTCCAAAAACAGTGCATGACATGTAACATAAAACTCAGAATTTTAGATTCAAGCATCAAGTGTTCAAAACATGCTTGGCCAATTTACAGCCTAAGGCGGGGAAGACGCATTGAGCACCAAACTCCCAACTTCGACCAAATATATCCTGCCATAAAACCTAAAAAATCAATGTCAAATCAAAGTAATATTAGTGTACAAAAGAACCAATTTTGACTAACTTACAAGAACCAAGTAGAAACATGTCTTCCGCAGCTAAATAAAATACCAAACAGAAGATAAGAATGTGACAAAACAAGTGACAGAATAAACAGAAGAATAAACCTGTCAAGCCCTCGACCAGCCAGAGCATAAGCTTCCAAGAAAGCATGAAATCTGATATACATCCTTTGTCAGAAAAGTTCCAAGACAATTTATTTTATTAATTTTTGAGTTTGCAGTACTAAAAAGGAACAAATGTTGTTTTTATGTTATCTTTGGTATGTATTCTTACTTTATATGACCTTGGCTTGTTTTCGTGCAAACTCACTAAATGGCAGAGCTGTGCTTAGCAACACACTGTTAGGATTGTTCTCGCATTCGTTAGGTGACACAATGGATGCTGATTGTAAGCAAAGAGTGAACATTAAGTTCTGCGATAAGCTCGGGAAAACTCCTAAGAAAACGTGGAACATGATTAAGCAAGCATATGCAGGCGAGGCACTTTCAAGAAGTCAAAGTTGGAGTGGCACAAAAGGTTTCGTGAAGGCAAAGCTTCGGTTTAAGACAATCTCAGAGTTGATAACGATGCAAACGTGGAGCGTGTAAGGCAGTGATTGCAAGAAGACCGTCGTATAACTATGCATATGGATATTAGAAGAACTGAATTTAAATCATGATGCGTGTCACAAGCTTTTACGCGAAGATTTAAGGAAATGGAAATTTAATGCAAGAATCGTCTGTCACTCACTAAGAGATGAACAGAAAGAGGAAAGACTAAGAATTTCTGCTGAACCTATTGGATAGAACACGTGATCCCACATTTGTGTCAAAGATTATTGTTTTTTATGCTTCCGTGAGCGAAAAGGTGACTGAAAGGTGTGGTGTATTTAATTATGGCAAAGCACACGAGGGCTGTCTGCCTAAGGGAAGGGATGCCTTCGTGGAGAACTTTCTAAGGGAAACTGGCTCGTATACACGTTACACATAGGGAAAACCACGAAAGTGAGCCCTGGTGACTGAAAGGAAAGCTTCATCAAGATTATTGCAGACATCCAACGGCCTGTGATAAATAAGCTCGCAAGCATCGCAGTTGAAGATTTCCTTGCTTGCTTCCAAGACCTCTAGAAACGTTGCCAGTATAGATAGCCAATGGGGAGTACTTTGATAGCAGTTACGATCATTACTTGGTAAATGCAATTTTTTTGTTTTTTACGACTTTTGTCTCGGAACCTTTCCGACAAAGGACGTATTTAACTCAAAAATGGAGGTAGAAGATGGAATAATTGTCCTGAAATAGCTTCTTTCAAGGAAAACCAAAAAGCATACATAATAGATACTGTGGTGTAGTGGCCGAAACCCCTACACAAACCCCGGGTTGTAATACAGGGTTGACATGAATTTCAAACTCAAGTTCTAACAATAACATGAATTTCAATACGATAAAAACGTTAATATTTGCATATCTTGCAGTATGGGACTGCAATATGGGACTGATATATTTAGTCCTGTAATTTCTGAATTTTGTTAACAGGAATAATGCTCTATCGCATTTATACACCAGGAGAAATAGTTCTAACAGGCCAACATGCTCATAACTCTAGCAGGAAAGAAGTCTAGTCTCTTGACTGACTGATTAATTTATTGCCGGACTACCACACAGTGTGCAGTTTTTCCGGCTCAATCAAATTTGCCACATAGGCGCATCACATGGTACTATCTGCCCGTGGTATCCCAGAGGGAGCGGAGGAGGTGGAAAAAGAGGGGACTGAGGCATCGTGCGGTCAGTAAGCAGAGCGATCATGGACAGCAAGTGAAAAACGTCCTAAGTTAATTGAAGAAAAAGAAAATGTCTTAAAGTAACAATACAATACAAATACAGAAAGAGTAAAAATATAAAGGAAAAAATATATACAATATGTACACTATATACAAGATATTGCACTATATTGCATGTTACTAATCATTAAGTAGGAAAGTTAGAGTCATTTGCGAGGTGGGCCGCTAGTGGTCTAATTTCACAGTCCTCGTCTAGAATTGTATAATTTAGTGTGTTTAAATTAGACAAATGTGCACAGTGAAGAACTGTCATGAAGAAATTCCTGTTGAGTTTATGCACATGCTGTTCAACTGTACTAAGTTTCAAGTCTCTGTGCAGAGTGGCGTTGCTGACGTAGTAATGAGCGTTAGTAATCATTCTAAGTATTATACTCTGAATTACTTGCAGTATGTACAGGTCTCTCTTTTTGGCCGTATTCCAGGCTGGCGAAGCATATGTGATGATAGGCCGTATGTCCATTATATACACAAGCCGCTTTCATGTAGATCTAATTTTGAAAACTTGTTAAGAAGGGGCTTTACATTGTTGATTACAGCGAAAGCCTTTTTCCTCACATTAGTGATATGGTCGTTTCAAGTTAGTTTTGGATTCAGTACTACCCCGAAGTACTTGGCTTTTGTGACTTGCACCTGTTCATTGAAAAGATAAAGTTTCCTTTTGAGTGGGATCCGTGTATGTTTTCTCCTGATGACAAGTAGTTGCGATTTTTCCGCATTGATCGATATCCTCCATTTAGTACAACAGGATTCAATATTGGGTATAATGTCCTGCAGCTGCTTTAAAGCATGATTTGCGTTAGCAGACTTCACAGCTAAAGCTGTCTCGTCTGCATAACATCCTAAAAAATTATTTCTATCCAAGTGGTCGCGCGGAAAGTTTGCAACATATAATAAATATAAAATTCGTCCTAAAATGCTGTCCTGTGGTATACTAGCATTAATTTTTCTAGTGTTAGAGACGTCTTTACCGATGGAGACAGAAAAGCTTCTATTTGTGATGAATGAAGCAATGAGCTCAATCATTCTCCCTTTCGAAGTTGAAATTAATTAGCTTGTAAATCAGCCCCTCATGCCAGACACGGTCTAAAGCTTTCGCCACATCCAGCATGAGGATGGCAACATTTTGTGTGTTGTGTAAGGCATCTCCGCAAAATTCCACAAGCCTTACCAGCTGTTTGGAAGTACATAATTTTGCGCGAAATCCGAACTGTTCGGGCGGAAGTACATCTAAGAAGGGCTTGAGTTCATAAACTTTTCCTAGCCCCGAAAGTAAGCTAATGGGCCTGTAGTCTCGGGCCGGGTAGTGTCCTTTCCTGGTTTTGGCAATAATATAATTTTAGCGTGCTTCCAGCAATTGGGAAAGTAGCTGATGTTGAGGCAGGCGTTTACGATACTTGTTTGTGTACTTCGTAATCATGTTCATGGGTAGTCTCTTGATGGCCATATTACTAATAGTGTCATGCCCAGGTGCTTTGCCGGCCTTAAGTTTCTTAATTAAATCTTTAATTTCCAGTGGGGAGGCTTATTTTACTTGTTCTCTGACGGTAGGAGCGTTTAGCCAATTTTTAACTTTGTAGCAAATATCGTAAACGAAATCAATGTCACATGGAGTTCTGTTTGGCATGAACTGCTGCTCTAAATAATCTGCGAGAACCGCAGCCTTGTCCTTGTTCATAATAGCGATGCCGTCGTCAGTGAAAATGGGCCTAGTGCTGCTAATATTACGTTTGAGACTTTTAATAAAAGCCAAAAGTGAGCTGTAGGTTTGAAATTTAAAATCTTCTCTTCCCAGATTTCATGCCTGTGCAAGTCAATAAGTTTCTTAATTTTCTTATTGAGTCGGTTAAGTTCAAATTTAACCTGGGGACTCCAAGTAAGATGCGATCTTTTACGAAGGCGGTTGATAAACGGCTGATCATTAGGGCAGAAGCTTGAGATGATATTTTCATTAAGTTGCATTGTGGGTGGATTGTAGGACGAAGTAAAGTACATGGTGCCATAAAAAGGAAGGTGTACAGCAACTGTGACCGCCTCGTGATTATTATTTCTATCTTCCTTAATTAAACAGGACTGTAGGGAGTTGCGCACATAAATAGCGACCCCCTGCCTCTATGACTCCTTCTGTCGCACCTATATGTGCGGTAATTAACAATATTAATATTCCTACAAGGTGTAGCGTGCGTCTCAGTAATGAGTGCAATATCAACATCGTGATTTGCGAGAAAGTTGTGCAATTCCGTGACTTTATTAAGAACGCTGCAAGCGTTCCAATATGTTAATATAATATGAGCTTTGTTAGTGTTGTGCTTGCCCATTATTATTAGGTTCAGAGGTTTGATTAAGTTTTTAACTTGTCTTATTTGTTCAGAAAGAAAAAAGCCGGAGCTTTTAATTACAGATACTAGTCGGCTAAATCAGCAGACTTTCTTAGCTTCGTTGATTGTATCCGTATAAATTCCAGTAGATAAAGCTTGGGCGAAAGATTTATTTTCAGTCACACGACTGGCATATGTCTTTGGTTTATCAGAATTAGTATTAGGTTTCTTGGGAAATTTCTCACCCCCCCAAAACAAAAATTGGAGGTGTGGTCTAAATTACAGTTGGCATACTTTTGGGACGTGTCCTTACTCTTACTTGGACATTGAAATGAAGTGATTGTGAGTCTGCGTTTACTCCATCCCTTAGTGTTTACTTTAATTTGATGGTTGGGATTTTATTCTTTTTAGTGAAGTCACCTTTAGTGGTTTGTTGATTATCAGTAAATGTTTGATTTGCAGGTTGTTCGTTACTGTTAGTATCCATTAAATTGTTATCATTGCTAGTGCTAGCCGTGTTATTAGAATTATTTTCTTCATGCGTAGTACTAGCTGCAAGAGACTCTTTCACATTTGTCGTGATATTTGTATTAATTTTTACTTGCACCTTACTTGCTGCGGGCAGCTCAGGTATGTTAGTCATCTCAGTCATATTATGACTTTTCTGCTTTTTATTCAAATTCTTATTATTAATACTGCTCCTAACTGTTTTGTCCCCCCGGCGTTGGGCATAAAACTCGTCGTCCGAACTTGTGTCTTCGTCTAAGGTTATTTTATCCCCAGAACAATTAACATCTATGCTAATAGGGCTCCTATATATTTCGCTGTCGCTACTAACCTCGATAGTGTGAACGCTCGGTACTTTATCATCATGTGTGTTATCATTTATGGCTCAGCTAAATTATGCACGTGGCTTAGCTAAATTATGCAAGTGGCTCAGCTAAATTATGTGTTTGCTCTTGTAGGTTATCATCCTCAGTGTCTAAGTCCTTGAATTCAGCATCGTATGTACTAAGCATGAGTTGGAAAAACTTAAGTTCCTTAAGCTTTCTAGCGTCTAATTCACCTAATTTTTCCTTGCGTTCGTACTCAATAATGAGTTGCCGTAAAAACGCATCTATCCTGTCCATGATCGCATAAGTCAAGAAACTGTCTAAATCCAGCGCCCAAATAAACGCATGCAAACCTGCGCCCGGAACCGGGCCTACTCGACGATGTCCCGGCAGACGGACGCGCAGGTGAAATCTTCCAAGGCCCCTGACTCTGACACTGACAGCGAAAGCTTTGGGGTAACTATGTAGGGAAGAAAATACAAGCCAAGAAAAAAAATTAATATTTAGAAAATAATATTATAAAAATGACAGCAATTAATGATCTCGTCTCTTCTCAGGAAACCACATTTTATATCTCACTGTGTCGTTACTTGCGCTGAACTCCAGGAGGGGGGAAAATTCCTTCACTCGTATAACATAAGTGTCCATCTCATGACCCTAATAAAAAGACCTCCTTTATCTCTTTGTCATATTGGAGTGACCTTCGAGGCTTCAACCGGAATCATTAACAAAGGCAGCTCATTGCACAGAATTTCACCTCTGAAAATGGTAGTATTGCAATCTGAAATCATTCATCCTAGAGACAAAGATTCTCTATGTGGCCTTATCACACTACTAATTTCATGGAACTGTCACTAATTCCACCAGAATCTTATTAACCTGAATGATGTAAATATCTTGTCTGGATTGTAGCGCAGGAAAGATATCTGAAACTAAACCAGCAAATGAAGCTTCGCAGCCATTCCATGGTTCGAAAGAAAAATTTACATGATGATCGTGCGCAGTGTGGGCGTCGGTTAACTCACCTCACTTGATTATCCATCTAATGTCGTTACTTTGACAACATTGTAGCACAGCTACAAATAATAGCATAGCTTTGTGATAAAGACCTGCGCTACAAGCTATTGTAGCACAGGTCTATATCACAAAAATGATTTCAGTTTGTTCAATTTATCTGCTAGCTAATCAGCACATCAATCAGTGAGACTTCGAAACTCTAGCAAAGCACCTGCCTGAATCTTGCAAAATTACGGGTGATTGCAGTGGCTTTAGTCCATTCCGGGGAAGTAAGGATAGAACCTTCACAACCAAAACAAATACTTCTATGCCTACCTTTTGCGGGCAGCACGGAGGCCCTGTGTCAACGAAACCCAATCCATAGGTCTGTGAGCAAACAACCCACATGGTGGACTCGGTCTCGAACAGTTTGTGTTGAAACTCTGGTACCAGTAGACCTCTGAAGGTGCTGTTGCAAGAAAGTGGTGTTCATATAGTACGCTTTCTTCTCGCCGTTATTGTTAAATACCGATCCTCATTTTGTGTTGTTTCAGGCGAAGGATCTTGTCCTGATCTTCGGAAAACATTTCCAGTTTCCAAAAAACGATTCCATTGTCTGGAAATGACACTTTGAGAAACTCCTAACGCTTCCGCTACAAAGGATTGTGTTTGACCTGCCAGTACTATAAGAATGGGGATTCTGTGGCTAGAGGAGCGAGGAGCTGAAGGCCAATGATGTCACACAAAAGGTGGGGCCAAGGACGACGTCATCGATGACATCACACCAGGAGGCGTAGCCAATGACGTCACGAGTTTGAGTTGTTTTAAGCTGCTGGTTGAGTTGTAGGCCTCCTGCTTTTCGTTTAAATTTAGTTTTTCAAAATTGGCAACGTGGAATATTTTCTGCATCTTAATTTTGATGATACACTAATGGCGCCCGCTGTTGATGAAAAAGTAGATTATATGTTTTAGAAATATATTTTTAAGTCTGGTGGTAAAATTATTCAGTACGCGTCTCTGAAAACAATATAAGAGAAAAAATATAAAAAAGACCTCCCTTTAATGACAATTCATCACGTCATGAAAATGAAACTACAAGATAATATTTTTATTTAATATCCTACTTAAATTTATTTTGATACATTTATCCTTTGTAGTTTCCATGAACATTTAACTTAAGTCTTATGTTTTCTGTTCACAATAGCATATTTGTTTACTGTCATATTTTTTAATACTTATCGTCTCTAATTTGTAATATTTTACTTAATTTCCACATATTATGTTTTTCATATCTTTTATTATTTTCAACTTACCCTGAATTTTATCTTATACATTATATTTCACAAACGTAATTGTTCTCATACATGCAGTTTATTTGTTACATTATTTAATTTTAAATGCAATTTCGAGCTTTTTTTTAACGTTATAGTTTTCAACATATTCTGAATTTTAACTTCATTTACATAACAACTGTTTATTATACAGTTTAGTTTTAAACATAATATTTAACATCTTTTTTTTTTTTTTTTTTTTTTTTTTTTTGTCTATTTTTTTAACCTTTCTAGTTTTCTATACACACTTTAATTTTAACTTACTTGTTTTAAAACCTATTTAAAAAGAAACGTTTATTTTTCATGATCTTAGTTCTTTTACTTAATTTTATACAGAATTTATAATTTCTTTCACGTTTTTAACTATATCTTCCTTACATTGTCCAATATTTCTTTTTAAATTTAAGCAATTTAAGTCTATAACTGTTAATTACTTTTCTTACGTTTATGATTTTCCCTTCTTAGTTTATATTTCATAATTCTTGTTTAACTTATTTATTATACTGTTTTTATTTGTCATAATCTCGCAATTCATGATTCTAACGTTTTATTCCATTTTAGACGTTAACACAATTTTTAACAATATGGATTGTTTTAATATACTACGTATTCAGACATTTCCTTACAATTTTTAAAATACTTGTTACATTCTCCGATCATAATTGATCATCTACAAGATTTTTTATTTGACTTAGTTTTACTCAGAAATTTCTATTCAAAACTTTACAGTTTAATACCATTTATATCTAAATTCTATTTATATAAAACCTATCTAATATTTATTTCTCATATACTAGTTTTAAGGTCTTCAAAAGTTTCTAACATAATGTTTAGTTTTAAATCCCGATTACCTTTAAGTGTATTCGTAATTTTCGTTTCTAATTTTACAATCACATTCAGTGTTTCACTCATTCATATCCATTGCATTATAGAACTGTGTAACGCAAGGGAAATATCTTACAGAAAAATATTAATTTTCATTTTTACCTCTTGCTTTTTCATGAGATAAAACTGTTCAGCAGTAGGATACGCTGGCATCCCAAAGGTTTTCCAAACAGCATAAGGGTTGGTTACTTCATTGTTTAGTTCAAGTACTGTCCATCGAAATGAAGATACTAAAGAAATGAATTTTCAAATTTACAGTTAGGACCTATATATGCTACTCTTCTCTCGTAATAGAAAAAATAATGTGAATACGTGCCCCCCCCAAAAAAAAAACTGCAAAATAGCAATGGGTATGAAAATGTTCAGAGTTATATAGGCTTGCATTGCATGATACATATGAGTTTGGTAAGAAATCAGATATTCGCCATTAAGTCATTTATTAAACAGTGTAATAAAATGGTCAAACATTGGGGGGGGGAATAAAGGCATTACTTTTACATGTCTCACAATAAGAAATGCATGCTAAAGCCAGAAACTTCTCCAAACACGTCAATGATGACATAAGAGCCCCCTTTCGAACATGATACAATATCTGGCTGACGTCCTCGATGATGTATCAACAACAGGACCAAACTCCAAAGCGTTTTGATTACGGAGTGCCTTTGCAATTAAATGCAACTACCTCTACATTTTCATTAATAAAATTGAAGTAAATAAGAAAGAGCAATCGCTAAATAAAGTGAAAGAAAACATCAAAGGCTGGAGAACGTAGTTCGATAAGAGGTAAAGCAACAACAGGATGCAATACGTGGATGTGCTTCGCATGTTGCAGACCGGCGTGAGTAGAGTCGACTATGACGTAGAAGCCCTCTCCCGAACCAAGGCTAAAGAAAGCCCTGCTTCCGAATGTCTGTAATGATATAGCAACCCCCGCGTCTCCTGAGATCCTCAATAAGGTCTGTTCATTGTGCGCTGCAGTCTCCTTTGCTCCTTCCTTCTCGGTGCTCCAGAAAGTGGTACGTCCGACTTACTAGCGTTATTTCTTATGCCATCATCTTCTTGTATTGGCTGATTTAAATAGTCTTTGTTTTATATTTGACTGATCCTCAAGTCTTCGTTATTCTCCATTTCGGTACCGAAAAACAGTTCAAATGGCGAAAACCTTGTACTTCTTATGGTTGTACGGCTCATCATTTTCTATAAGCCTGCAGCATACTTCAGCCCTTTCACCGGATCGTCATGAGACAGCTTTGGTAGGACAGGTATCAAAATCTTCCAGGATCCATTCGATTTGTCCGTTTTCTCTCAGTATTCCGTTGGTAATCTTTATGTCTTCTTTGGTGCGATGAGTTTCAAACTCTTTCGATATAGAAGCAGCAACACTGTCAGAAAATATTCTGGAAAATTTTTCCAAATACTGTTTGTTGTTGCTTTCACTTTGCAATGGCTTCTTGTGAGGAGAGGTTTTACAAGATACCAAGAAACTTGGTGAATGCGTCAACTAAAGCGAAAGTAATTGTATTTTGGTATTACTTATTTTCGACGGAAGAGTTACAACAGAATCAATCTGATTAAGTTCTAATCTCAGCGATGATACTGTGGTAGAAACTATGATTAAAAATGCTTATACTGAAGAAACTGTTGGACAAATGCAGCTGATGGAAAGAGGACTCCGTGCAATAATGGATGCCAAAGCTCCGATGCGTACTATTAATACGATTTATTCATAAAAATTGGAGAACCAAAAGTGATGGGGTCTTTTCAATTTTTACACAAAATTTTCTTGCAATCTGCATCACCCCAGAAGAAAATTACTGATTACTTTTGTATTTGGATGTTAAGTAAAAATTATAAGTAAATTCATCAATGTTTTTTGCTATTCATTTTTGACGGTTAAAAGATTATTCAAAATTATAAATTGTATTTTAGAGGAAGATATTTCTCGAGGAACAGTTCAGAACCATGACTTTTATATTAAGTACTCAATTTATCATGTAAAATTTTTAACGTATGATAAAATTGAAAAAGAATGTAAAAAATAATGATTGCACATAATACCAGCTGTAATTAACCTTTCATATCATTTTAATTAGAGTTATTATTCTCTTATTTGGGTAGTTGTAATTATGCTAATCAGTTCTTCAGGCAGAAAAACGCTTAGCAAAAATTCTCATACTTGTTAAGCAGGCCACTAAACAAGCACTTACACACACATTTAAACGATCCTGGTTATATAACCACCCTCAATATTCGTGGACGTTATGTACTTTAAAGTAATGAGCTTGTTTCTACCAGGATAATGAATAATAATCAATTCAAGATGATGATTAGTGTATTTATGATCAGAAGAAAAGAAAACACATTTCGAAAACCGCTGAATAACATCCCTAATCACCAGACATATAGCCTTATAACTATTTTGGAATGCTGTCCGTAAAATCGCAGCAGCTTGCGATCTTCCTGACAACTAAAGGTAGCAACCACAACTCTAGAGAAATTACGATTTTTTGGAAGCAAGAGAGATTGAAAAATGAGCAACGCCTTCGCCGGGAATCGAACCACGGACCTCTGGAATACGCGCCTAGCGTGCAGACCACAACACCATGAAGGCACACTAAGAAGTCGGGAGAACTACCTTATGCAACAAATAAAAAAATATGGATAGACTCTTTCCATGAATTAATGAATTCAGTGTAATACCCATAAACTTTTTTATCCGTTATTATGCATTCATTTCTTTATATAACTAAAGCTAGTAACAAAATTCACTTTAAAATATTTCCTGAATGTGCAACGAAAAGTTATGCTAAAGCAATAAAAAATACTTGCCATTTGATCTTGAAATGTTAAGAATAAAATGTACATCCACAAGATCACTTGAATGAGCGCTGTCAGCACCATTATAAATGATAATAACATATTCTTTCCTGAAATAAAATAAAAGAGTCACTTAATTAAGTGATGCTGAAAAGACTAACTATGCAATATAGCAAAGGATTCTTTTTAACCCTAAAATATTTAACTCTAGAAATCGCATTTACCTTTTACAAATAGTAGAAAACTAATAAATTATATTTTCTTACTTTAAAAAGTAAGAAATATTCTTAGTGATATTTTAAATGAAATCGTATTTACCTTTTACAAACAGTAAAAAAACTAAGATTATTTTATCTTCTTAGACGAAAAAGTGATAAATAACACATAACAGTTTTACAAACGTTTAATTTTCATAGCAAAGTTTTATACGCAGCTATCTTTATTAACACATTTATACGAAGATAAGGTCAGATAAAAATTTCGAAAACTCGTTCAAAATACAAACGTATATTTAACAAATATTTTACAAATTTTACATATTTAACAAAATACAAATATATATTTAACATAAATTACAAATTATATAAATTTTTTTTTTTTAAAATTGCAATATGAAAATTTCGGTTTACAGTCAGAACTAAATTTACCATTAAATAAATAAAAATAAAATATACTATTGCCAGCTAATAAAATTAAATCGTTAATGATAAATAAAATTAAATGCAACTAAATTTTTTTTAACTTTTAAAGCTGCACATTTGTTTCTGCTTTTCACTCTCGAACGTGAAATGAAAAAAATAGCAAAGTAGTAAAATACCAAAAAATATATTGCCATTTGTAGATAAAAGTTAATCTCATAAAAAGTAAAGAAAAAACATATAGACGGGATTGTAATCCATAATGTCATTATAAAATTTCAAAAATGATTATTTACTCTCTTCAAAGAGGATTATTTACAGTGGCGTGACAAAGGGTTCTGTCCTCTGCCAGATATTATTTAATATTTTCATAAATGATCTTCCACACCCACTCAGCTCCAACGTCTTCAAGTATGCTGAATATACAGTCATCTTAAGAAATTAAAATATCCGCAAATTGCAGTACATAACTTACAGCTTCATGTTAATGCGATCGTCAGGTGGCGTAAACAAAGGAAAGTTAAATTAAATGCTTCATAGCGCTGTGTCGTTTCATACAGAAGGTATAAAACGTGTATGCAAGTTAACACAGAAATAAAAACGGAAAATATGAATTATTCCAAACACTGATTCCTACAAGTATTTACGAATGTATGTAGATAAAACACTCTCATTCAAAGATCACACCACATACTTTACGAGCGAAGCAAATGGGCAAATGGAGTATTTATAGCACTTTATAATCTAATCGGTCGAAAATCAAAAACTCAGTCTCAACGTAAAGAAAATTATTTATGTAACACTCATAAGGCTTATTCTACATGGGCAGCAGAGAACAAACCAGAAAGACTTAAGATCGACGCACTAGATTTATCGGCATTTATCGGAAGCAAGTATCAGCGAGGCGTCACCAATACCCCATGGCACCCAGTTCGAGTTAATTGACGTTAAGAGTGAGACACACACAAAAAAATTCATACCTGACGGGCAAGGTATCTCTTTTCCTAAAGTTTTTGGAGTTAGATCCAGCGGGCGTGGCTGCAAGTACTGTTTCTGAAAAAGAAAGTGAGCAAAAGCCAAGGAAAATGCTTAAAGCTAAACATTAACGTTGGGCGCCACTTTGTGTGGGGGTCGTTTTAGATAGGGTCATAGAAGAGTCCTGTATAGTGTAACAAGTATTTATTAACAGGTTTAAGTTACACACGAACATTACATTTAACTTAAAAATATATTACAGAGCAAGAGTGTGATACAACCTATCAAGTGGGACACTTGGCTTTTACTGAAGTACTTCTCTAGCTACTCACCAGAGGGCAGCCTAGTTGTCACAGTTAGTCCAACAGTTTATGTTAAGGGATTGGTTACAGTATTTAATTAAGTACTTTTCAAAATTAAAATAAAACTGAGAACAAAATCTGAAAAACTTCTTAAATAAAATTTTAATAATCAGTAAATGCTTACTTTTTAGATATGCATTCTGTTGCAATTACACCAATGTTACTCTGAGTTGCCAGAATCTTTTTACCTTAAATAAGCAAACATGCCATTTTCAGAAATAGTTACACAAATTTAAAATTGCAAATCTAAAATAATATCTAATTTTAACACTAAAGAAACATTTTATACATGCAAAAATATTTTTTAAATAAATCACATTACTTTTTATTATTTTCATTAGTATTATTATCCCTAACCGTATTTAATGCCAGATACTATTCATTTCATTTTAAATTGCATTTAAACATATTTTAATGCCCAAGATATTCAAAGCGCTAAGATTCACTCGCTAAGATTTCTCCAATTTACTTAACGATTCATTTGAAGCCTACTTACCTTGCTGAAAAACTTTTGCACGTAATAAGAGAGGACAAAGTTTACTCAAAAGGCCAAATACAGTGTATACTGGTTTCTTAACAAATTCAACATATTTGGGTAATGTGTTGTTAACTTGAAAACGAGCCAACATAGTCCGCTGGGTAAACTGGTTTGGAAAATAACTTAAGAAAGCATTGTCACTGCTTAAAAGACCAAATTTCACATCTTTCCTCGTCAAAGGCTGATGTCTCATAAAGTAAAAATGAATATGACTCAGAACAATCTGAAAGAAAAAATTTTACATAATCTATTTTTGAAGGGAAGTACATTGCAATTCTTTAGCACCTTTTCGTTCAATGTAAATTTTAGTTCTTACAACTAATGACATTCACGAACGGAGGAAATTAGAACGAAATAGAAAAATATTATTCTAAAACACGAATACAATGAAATACCTTTACTACCATAGCAGCATAAGTAACATCTGCTCTCCACCACTGCGGAAGGGACCAGTTTTTCAACGGATCAGCTTCACTATAAATAAATAAATTTTAAACCTACAGCATTCATGTAATGCAAAATATAGCTATAAAAAGCATCATATATATACATGTATATAAATACAGAGATTGGACAAAAATGTGGAAATACCTCGTAAAATGCAGGTTTAAACTGAAATGTTTATTCTTGCAAAAGCTTTTGGTGGGCTGATGTGTATGGTGACTAACGCCATTTGTACAATATCCTCAATATGTTGCAAGTATCATTCGTTATCGAGACAGAATTCTGTGCAGTTGGGAGTGCATCATGTCGGAGCTAAATGAATACGAACGTGGGAAAACTGTTGAGGCTCGTATGGTGGGTGCTTCCGTAACCAAGATAGTTGAAGTGTTTGGTGTTTCAAAAGGCACAATATCTAAGATTTTTAACTCATACAGGAAAACCGAAACACTGCATCTGCTAAATCACAGCGCAGACGAAAATGACAGTGCTACGAGTGATTATGACAGACGATCACTGAAGAGGATTGCGATCAAAAATAAGGGGAACTACAACTGCAAAAGTGACTGCTGAACTCAATGTTGCAATCACAAGCCCTGTCAGCATCAAAATAATATGAAGGGAGCTCCACAAGCAGGGTACTTTTGGGCGAGCTGCAATTCAAAAGCCACTCATTAGTGATAAAAATGCCTGTAAGAGGAGAAAGTGATGCCAAATTCATAAAACCTGGACTGTAGATCAAGCAAAGACTGCCATTTGGTCGGATGAGTCTTGATTCACACTGTTTCCGCTTTCTGGGCGAGTTTACGTCTGCTGAACGCCATCCCAAGCGTATAATAGAGGCTGCTGCCGAGAGTGAAACATGGCGGAGGCTCGGTCATGGTTTTGGCAGCCATGGGACCCATCAATTGTGCAAGGTCACATTACTACCAAGGATTAAGTGACCATTTTGGCTGATTACGTCCATCCCATGGTACAAATTTTGTTCCCCAATCGTGATGCCATTTCCAAGACAACAGAGCTCCTGTTCACGCAGCTCACATTGTCCAGGACTAGTTTTCTGAGCATAAGGGTGAACTTTCACATCTACCATGGCCACTACAGTCACCAGATATCAATATAATTGAGACGTTGTGAGCTATTTTGGAGAGAAATCTGCGTGAGCACTATCCACCGCCAACTTCAACTTGCCAGCGTTTTACAGGATGAATGGTACAACAAGATTCCACTGCAGAGAATTAAAGACCTCTATTCATCCATTCCGAGAAGACTGCCAGGTGATTTGAATGCCAACGGTTTTTTCTACACTGCATTACTCACGACTCTCTCTCTCTCTCTCTTTCTCTAATAAATATCACTGGTGTCCTTTTCCGCGAAGTTGGCAAAATTTAACAATAAAAAAAACTTCTATTGTAATGGTTTTAGATACTTTTTCTTATGTCTATCACCACTGTTTAAATCTTTAATATTTAACGGGGTGGTTGCTGGAGTGATATACTATAGATCAGACAATAGCTTTTTCATTCTTAATTAATGTTCACGGCAAAGCAGTATAATTTGTTTACTATAAACAATGCCCTGCTTGCAGAATTGGCAATTCGCCATTAAAGGTTTATCGTCTGTGTAGAAGTTAGCTTTATACACTTACGTCGAAATTCATCTTTATATACACAAATATAATTATGTTCTATGATATTTCTATAAAATAATCATATTTAATCCATATTATCTATTTTTGATGGGAATGTGTGAAAGACAAGCTTAAATACCATTACCCAATTAAATGTTATTAAATGGTTTCTCATATGCAAATTAAGGCGTTACCCAACATTTCATTTCAGTGTATAAAGACTTAAAACGGTTTGTTATTGTTCCGAAGTATCATATGGAAAAACCCATGAAGTGGCGAATTATCGGCTGTTTAGAAGCACGGTAGACAATTATGTAAGTAGTGAGATTGTGACTATTTGCAGACAGACAGTCTCTACTCTAAGGAAACAATTTCAGAACTTTGGAATTGTTGTAAAGAAGCCTAGATAAGGTAGCAAACGAATAACAACTGCTTCTCATGATCGAAAAAAAATCTGGCAGTAATTGCCCATCGTAACAGGAAGTCTACTGCTCAGCAGTTAAGTTCATAGTTTGCACCTATCGCCAACTGTAAACGCCAACTATTGTATCACGGCTAACTGTTAGCATAAGGCTTAATGGAAAAGTTCTTAATGCCAGAAAGCGAAGAGCACGTGTTTCACTATCTTCCCAACATTACTTAGGATAAATATTAGGTGGCCTCCTCACTGCAACGTAACATACCATATCTTCACAACAAAAGTGGGATCGTTGTGATTGGTGCAAAGAATGTCAGAACTAGGTTGAACACCAACTTTCGGTAATGCAGATATGACGGAGATCAGTATGCGGAGAAATAATGATCTATGGAGGTATGCCATTACATATTTTCTACAGCAGATCACTGACCTGCGCCAGAGATATCAGGGTGAGGTCTTAAAACCTTATGCGAGACTTTTCAGATGTGTATATAGATCTGACTTTTTATTTACGAACGATAATGTTTGTCCACATCGAGCAATCAATTGAAGAATTCCCTGAAAGTGAAGACCCTGAGCGAATGCCTTGGCCAGCAATATTTCCTGATCTTACCCTGACAGAGAACTTACAGGACTATCTTTAAAAAGGAATTGCACGGAGACATCCATCATCTAAAGACGTAAATGCCCTGACGACACCATTGCTGAAGAAATGCAAATTTATTCCCCAGATTGGGGTTAAGAACGTTATTGCCGACATGAAAACACGTTGGGATATGTTTTTACAAGACAGGAGAAATAACATTCTATATTAAATTGATAAGCCTTAATTATATGAGTTTTTGCATCAGAACTCTCCATATAATACATAATTATCCTTTTTATTTTTTTTCACGTAGAGTTTTATATTGTAGGGATTATTTAAATTTTCTAATAGGTATTTTTAAATTTGAAACCCTTTCTTTTAAATTTTTGTTTCCCACCTACAACTCCCAGACAGAATCAGATTCCAGTATCGCATTTTATGTAAATCAAGTAGAAGGAGTATTTAATGGGAAGTTCAGTCACTTCAGGAGAAGAGTTCAGAAGTTCTCAGTAGAATGTGTTCTGCCTTCGGGGCACGTCTTTGCTTTGAGCCTATTTTACTACATACGACCGTAGCTGTACATGCCTGTTAGTATTTGCCGGTGATGTTCAAATACGAGCCAACTCGGTTAGTTATCTTAATACAGCTTCGGCTAAAGTTTAGCTAGTTAGAATTAGTTTAGTTGCTTATTTTCTACCTTAAAGCCCATGTGGAGGCTTTCCTGTAAGCCCGAGAACGGGCCGTTTGTGAGTGTTTCTTTGAGGGAATAAAAGAGTATTTTAACCCTTCTTTTGACTTATATTTTATAGTTGTAAGAAGACCGGAGAATAGTCGCTAGATACTTCCCTAAAGTTCTAGTAGCCAAGGACACGAAAATTAACTAGAACTTTATAAAATCATATGCAGTGTTTTGAATTTTCATTTTCTATTTATGTTACACGATGTTGCGCATTGTTGCGCAAAAATTCATAAAATTAAAGTTCACATTTTCTGAGATATCAGTAATTTCATGCATGCAAAGGTAGTTTGGAACATGATTGTATATATAAGTACGATTCATCGCAGTCTTCTTAATACGAGTATATTTTCCTTCGTGCATTTTTCTGATAAATATAGTGAACATATAGCATTAATGTAAAGACGTAGAGATTTCTGACAATGCAGAGATGAAAACTGACTTTGGACATCTTTTTATTTTGCGAGACATATAGTTTTCATTAGATTATATTACTTTTAAAACCGCAAAATTTAAGAACATACATATTTTAAAAAATAAATAAATAAATAAATAAAAATAAAGGGCATTACAGGCGGAATTTGAGATTTCTTATATATTTAATTTTATGCTTGGTGTACCGCCCTGTTGGCATTATGGTAAGGCAGATGGCTGTCATAGCAACGTGTTTAAGTTCGCATCCTGGAGAAGGCACGAATATTTATAAATAAATAGTGCCTTTTCGGTATAGGGGCACTTAAAATACTGTCGAATCAAAAGATTTCTCGACAGGCTGTGGTAAATGAAGAAAAATAACAGGACCCCACGAATGTACCCCACAAGGCACACAAAGCGAAGCTTCATGGTATGCCAACGAAGTATCCTCACGATCACTTGCAAGTGAATGATCGTGAATTACGTGAATGCCAAGTTCTGTTAATGGTCACTGTATTTGGCTTCACTAGCATCTGGGATGCTCAAAATTATAACTTCACTGTCTTTAAAGAGCATGCATATTACATTTCATTATATTATGCTATATGAATTAACATATATAAGCATAATATGTATAGATAAATGAATATCTTATATGAATTTTCTTGTATTATATGATATACATAGATTAATAATATTGATTATGTTATATTTTTTGTATATATTATATTATATTATAGTATAATATTATATTAGATTATTATTAATTACATTATTTATATTATATTATATTTTATATGGGGTACAACTTGTAATTATTTTCGTTTTAGGGGTACGCTATCAAAAAGCATTTGGAGACCGCTAGTCTAGATAATGGTGTTATTCAAATAATATTCCCGGTGGCCCTACGATTTCTGCAGACATTCATAGCCATATGCTCAGGATTATGCCACCTCCCGATAAACTGACTGAAGACCGAATAAATCGAGCTCCTTTTTAAAAAATCGGAAAGATCGGAAGTCGTACGAACCTGGTCGACGGTAGTTGTACGTCTTCTGCCGGCTTTTGGTAAAGTGCTTAAAACGAAGCATCTTACACCAACTTGAGCATCATTTATTAGTTATCAAGGCTATAGATCCAAGGTTCTAGAACAGGTCTTTATGTAGAACTCGCTATTAATGTCCTGATCTCTAACACACACTATAGAGATATTAGGTTAAATGGAAACAGGCAAGATGAAAAATATGCAACTCCTT